ATGAAGTGAAAGCAAAGTGGTTATTATATCCTCTTGCAAGTTTCTTAAATTCCATATTTTTTGTTCTTTGGACGTAAATAAGTTGTACAGTTCAGCATGTGAATTAGGCATAGAAAGATCAACTTTTCCATCGGGCAACACATGCCTTTGCTTTTCCTGTGAATTTTTTTTTTTTTTTGCACCACAATGTTTACAATTATGCATGTAGGTAATACATATGAAGTGCGCGGTATGTTTATAATATTAAAATCGCTTTCAAATATAGATGTACAAATATTACGTAAATCTCCGTTTGAAGTAGAAGTTATAAAATCTTGGAAATCATGATGTAATGTATGATATTGTATTCTCATAGGATTAGAATTATTATGTCTGGATGACATAACATCAACATCAGATTGATTATGCCCAAGTGACATAGGATGAGATATTCTTTTACAATGATAAATGCATCCTGTGCGAAGCCATTTTCGCCGTCTCTTTGCCTTTGAGTTTGTTGTTGGCGATACGACATTGTTTCAAAATTTAAAGGAGCAGTACTCCGTCTGAACAAGTATTCGGAACATCTATGACAACAGTACGATAAATCTTATGGAATAATTGAGGCTAAAAGCAATGAACAAAAATTAAAAAAATTAAAAAAAAGTTAACATATAACTCTCTTTATAAACTCTCTTTATAAGTGGGAATAAAAGTTCTTATGAAATATATTAACTTACTTAATTGTTTCGCATATGTGGAAAAATAATAAGAATAAGTGAAACTGGCAAGCAAGTTATATAGGTTAAACGAAATTTCTTTTTTATATTTTTTTGGGAATACACATACCTCAGCATGTCTACTCAAGCGGTTGCATACAAATTGGAATCAATAAAATCTTATTTATCTCGTAGTTTTCGACCAGCTATATTATACCCAAGAACGCCTACGTTAGATGTAAACAGATTTCTTGACTACAATAGAGATGTCAAAATCCTCGCAGTATTCTTATATGCATGAGAAGTTAAGGATTTGAAGAGCAGGAAATAAAATAATTGTTATAGGCTAAAACAGAGAAAGTATAGGAGAAGTTGCAAATTGTAACGTATCTCTCAACTCTATACAAACAGTTAAGAAGAGGTATATATAATATTTTGCAGTTTCAATTTTCTTTCTAGTTCAACAATTTTTTTTTTTTTTTGTACAAAATATCGTAGTAGTTGGTAGGGAATTTACGTAGCAAAGTTGGAATTGATGTTGTGGGCAAAACGTATACAAGTTGTGGGCAACACGTATAAAAGAAATTGTCATTTGCCTTCAAGCATCCTTCAAGAGCCAATGAGGGTGCAAAGTGGGTTGTGAAGTCAATAATTGTTGCTATAGATAGGCAGAAATCCAAATCATCCTCAATAAATAAATGAATAATAAAAGAGATGCAGAAATGAACAGTAATTGTCGGGATAACTTAGGTAGCAAGAAAAGAAAAAATAAAATTGGAGAACAAATAATACTAGGCATATAAACGGTGGATTCACTAGGAGAAAAGAAGGGTAACAAGTCAATAATTGTAGGCATGTGTGGTAGAAAAAAAATCCAATGCATGAGGAAAAATCCAAATTATGAGTATGGCTGCATTGGGATTAAAAAAGCTGCATATGAAAAATCCAATGCATGATGAAATATCCAAATCATGAGTAAGGCTGCATTGGGATTAAAAAAAATTCATATCATAATATATAAATAGGATGAAATCAACAATTGTGAGCATGTAAAACCAAATCGTGGGTAGGGATAAATTAGGGACAAAAATAGCTTCATAAATGAACAGTGATCGGCGGGTTCACTCATTTAATATATATATACACACACACACACACAAACACACACACGTGTGGAATTTTCCAACATCTTCATCGAATATTTTGTTTATCTGTGGAAAAATGCAAATGAATGTCGTATTTCAATCCGAAGATCAGATTATTTGGTTAGTCTGACAAAATCTATTGATTAACTGATATTTTGATATACTTACAACTATGATGAGTGATTTCATCTTCCTTAGTTCCTAGTTGTCATGAATTAGTGCTCATTGGTCGGTTCTAAGCTATGCAAGAACTCCTCCAAATTCGAAAACATCAATTTTAGTAGTCACCTGCAACTCTTTCACAGGTCTGTAAAATTAGAGAATGAAACAATATTGAGTTTGTTTTGGTAAACAACTGAGAGAGCTTTGTTCTAAACTATTTTCGTGTAGATAATGCTTATTCGGGAGGAAGATATTCCTGCTTTCCCACCAGTCTTGTTGCTACTATCTTCATCTGTTCTACCAACAAGTTTTGTCAAGCCAAAATCTGCAACCTGTGGAAATGAAATTAAAATTACGTGGATGTTGATTGGGTTTCATGTAGGTACCTTTTCTCTGTTTCCTTAGATCAGGATGTTACTTATTTTTATATCACGGTGCATGTGTTGAGCTTTCGTGCGGTCATGAATATATTAGATACCCCTTGCAGCATCAAGAGTAGTCCGTGTTCTTGCCTCCCAAGACAGAGGCTGGTGGCCTAATTAAAGATCTCTGGTAAGAACTTTCTCCTGATTTATAGTTTCAAAGAAAAAAAATACAATCTTATTATAGGGACACGGTAAAATATGAAATTAATTGCTCGACCAAGTGGATTGTTCGCTCTACTTGGTACTTCCAAACGTCAGTTTTAACTTCTGTTAAGCAATTAAGAGAATCTTGCTGCACTAAAAAGTATAAGCACCATCCATTTAATTATCTTTCAAAAATGGATCATGGAGATGATCATTGAGATAAATCATTCTGGGTATACTCATAAACCAAGTGGAGGTCATTGTCACAGCTCGACTTATATCATGGGCTCGACTGGATAAATTATTGAGCCTCTTTCACATTTCATAAATAATGTGAAATTCAGTTTTTGGAAAGAATTATTACCACATTCATGTGATTTATCTTGAGCTACACTTTGAGTTCAGCCATGAACACCTTGCACTTGTTAGATCTCGTCTTCTTGATGGAAACTTCCTGATGTCATAGTAACGGCCACAAATTTAAATTTCAAATATTTGATAAATTTATCTCAGAAAATTAAAATTGAACAACATAAGAACAAATAGAACACCTGATCTCCTAGTTCCCTAAAACATAAACTTCCATATCCCCCTTGCACTAGTTTTCTTGTTTCGTCGAAGTTACTTGTAGCCTCCTCAATCTCCTCAACAATGTACAATGTCGCTCTTTTTGATTCAAAAACTTCGATATCTGTAAACTTAAATGAGCTCCAACTAAGTTATTGTTTATTCTTTCTTTCTTTCCCTTCCCACAATTTAACTGGGTCGATCAATTATAAATTCTGGCAAAGTTACTTGTAATAATTCATAATACTAATAATTTCTTTATATCATCTGACTCCCCATCTTTTCTTTAAGAGTGTACTGTTTTTGCAAAGAATGAGATTTCTCGGTGCACAAGGTCTTTGATAAAGCTTTTGGATCTTCTTCAATACATATTTGGATTCTTTTTCTCCTGATAAGTATTGTGGCCATAGTGCATATGGAAAGCAAGGTTACGGTTCCTAATATTCCAATTAGTATTGTCCCTCCCTGCCCCTTTTTTGATGCTGCAAAATTGAGGAATTAGAGTAAATAGATAAGACTCTATTTCTACTTCCTTCAAAGTTGGATAGAGTTTATGATTGCCTCGTTATAATGTCCTGTCTTGTTGCTTCGTATGTATTCTTTTGCTGCAAATTTTGTGGATCAAAGGTAAATGGTTATTATCTTTAATGATCCGATTTAAAAACTATCATCAAAACGTTTAAGCATTTGATTGGGATGGTCAATCATGGTATTAAGAGCAGATAAACGTTGTGATTCGATTCTAACCGACGCCCATTAATGAAAAATGTGCATTTTTAGGCAATTGTCGGGCTTGCAAGTGAATGGGTGTGTTTATTGTTTCTTTAATAATTTAAGCTTTTAGATGAGGCAACTACAACATCAACTACGGGAAGGGTAAAATAGAATAGATTAGCTACATCACATGTCAGGATCCTAAAGATTTTGCAATAGAAATTGAAGCAGTAATTACTAGAATTGTAAAATCTGGTTTTCATTGAGATATTTGTCACCTTTCTTTGGTGTAGGAATTCCATTCTTCTCCATTGGCACATATAAGAGCCATCCAATATCTATATACGACGGCTTCAGACCCAAATACGGGTTGAACTTCCCTTTCTCACCAACTTCAGCAGAAAGTAGAGTTGCAATACTCGATACAACACCATGTGCCTAAACTGTATAAGTTACCACAATTTGCGAGTCTTTTTCTAGACAACCACATAAAAGATGTATATTTAGGACTGCTCTGGCAGTCAAGTTTTTATCTTCAGCCGCAACCTGCCAGACTTGCCCACTGAATATCTAATTTGAAATGTCATAGAAAGAATCATTTGGTTTCGTCTGGCAGTGCCACCAACATTCTTCTGTAAGTGTAGCATGATTCACAACATTCTTTCAAGAACAGTTGACCAGTACTTGGTTGTCTTGTTAGTTAACATTAAATATTTGCTTGATTTCTGTTGTAATAGCAGAATACAAGGATGCAATCTCATCTTTCTGAAATCCGTTGCACTGATATAAAAGAGCTTTACATGATGACGGGGTTGTGGAAGAGCAAGTAAAAAGGTTCATTTGAGTCTAATTCGAAGACAAACCTCTTGTAAATAACCTACCAAAATGTGTGGACACATAGTACTTTGCTTAAATTATAACATATGTGAAGTAACATTGAGTTCAACAACCACAAATACAAAAGCCAATTACATTGCTATAATTTTCAACCATTGACAAAATTTAGACATTTTCTAGTATCAGCCATTTTGTTGAGAGCCCAAAAAGTAGCCTAAAATCTCTACCAGCCTTCCATTCAACCTTAGCATAGAGCCCCTCTCCCTTAGTAAATGCATGTCTTCCACCAAAAAAATTATTGCAAGAACATGGCAAGCAGAGGAAGCATTTATCTGTCAATAATATTCTTTTTCTTAGCAATCCTCCCTCTGCTTGCCTCGGCATTCCCCGGATTCTTCCAGGGTAAAAATTCTGATTCTCCCTTTCAAAATGATGGTGTAAAAACCTTATTTGGAACACCAATTTTTAGAGGCGAGGGTGAAAACAGAGAGGCTTCTCTTCCATCAAATTATGCTGGAGAACCAAAGAAGCCATTTGAGTATGAATCCGGGGCAAAGAAGGCGGAAACTGGTATAGAGGGAACCACGAAGGGCGGATTGAGGGAAGGATTCTATAAGAGGACTTGCCCTCGAGCTGAGTTGATCGTGAATGACGTTATGAACAAGGCTTTCCAGAATGATTCCGGCCTGGCTGCTGCTATCCTTCGCCTATTTTTCCATGATTGTTTTGTCACGGTAAGTCGCTCATGTCGTACCGTAATTGCTTGCTGGGAATTCTTCCGTTTGTTTGAGGAAAGTACAAGAAATCATTTTTCTCATCAGATCTTTTTACTTCTATGACATGTTTGATAGAATGGACCAGACAACATTGATAGTACTAAATGGGGGAGAAAAAAGTTAAAATCTTGTTTGTTAATTTGCTCACGTATGTGATACAACGAAACATGGATGCAGGGTTGTGATGCCTCGATCCTCTTGGACGAAACACCTAGCGGCGAGGGAGTCGAGAAGGCATCTGGTGCCAACGGCATGTTCGTACGAGGCTTTGAAGCAATCGACTTAATTAAAAGGAAGCTCGAGTACGAATGCCCAGGCGTCGTTTCTTGTGCAGACATACTAGCATTCGCAAACCGCGAATCCCTAGTATTCTCAGGCCTCCCATCCTATAACGTGGCTGCAGGTCGCCGCGACAGCCTGGCTTCCCTCGCCAAAAACGTTGAGAACAACGTCCCACTTCCCGATCAAACTACTCAGCAACTGACAGCCCTGTTCAATAGAAAAGGCCTAACAGTAGAAGAAATGATTGTTCTAACGGGTGCACATTCTATTGGCATTGCACATTGTGCAAACATCATCGACAGATTTTGGGATCAACAAAAGCGAAAGGACATTGAACCTGGCTATCACGGGGCAGTCGGGTTCTCGTGCGGGAATAACCCGAAACAAATATTTCCATTCGATACAGTCACAGAATACAAAATGGATTCACATTTCTACAAGCAATTGTTGAATAAGAGAGCCTTGATTGAATCAGATCAAAATATGGCCCGCGATCCTCTGGCTGCGAATATTATGAAAACATTGGCTGATGATCAGGAGGGGTGGTTTGGTAAATTCATCAAAACCATCATTAAATTGGGAGAGATTGAGGTTCTCACAGGGGATCAGGGGGAAATCAGAGAACAATGTCGGGCTTTCAATCAAAAAACACGTGGCATTTTTGGATAGGGTTATCTATTTTTTTCTCTCTTTTGTTCAATAAAATAATTCAAATCAATGGACACATGCATATCAAGCATGCGTATGTCAACCTACTTGTACAAAATCATAATGTACAAGTAGGTTAATTGAATTTGTGAACATTTCATTCAAAAGAGAACAATTTGTAAGAGGAAATTTAATAATCATACCCTGAATAAAATATTGATTGTGATCAAAAGAAAGTTACTTTTGAGTTACTTATTTGGTGAGACGTTATCTTTTTTATCAAGACTTAATTTTTAGAAAAAAGTAATTTTTAATAAACACTCTTATAGTAGTATTTAGAATTACATTACAACTTAAATGCCAAAATTTGGATGATAATTATGATTAGCTACAACATATGTGGTGTGTATAATTCGTTGAAAATGGATTTAATCAAGTTCAAGTTAAGTCCGGAAGATCAAAGTCTTCTTCAAATCAAATTCAAGTTCATAAGTTTCAAAGAAGATCACGTCCTAAAAGTTCAAGAATCAAGTCACATGGCTCCTCTATACACTCACAAGAGGATCAACCTATCTTGTATTTGAAAAAAAAATCATTTGTAATAATTTCTATTTTTTATACACGAACTTTATGGTACGATATCAATAGATTTTATTATTGAAAGATAAGATGTGAAAACCAAACTCAAGCAGAATGTCACAAGTAACATCACGACATTCTTGAGAAAACTTATGTTCATACCATGATATATACAGTCTTACGGAAATTATTTGAACTTTGACAAGGTAAATAAAACATAAACATACCTTATCATTTCTACAGTACAAAATTCAGGTAAGTTTTTGTGTTAGCCAAACATACTCAACTTTGTTAGACTCAAGAGAGATCATGCACCAAATTTTACTGCTATTATATACCAAGTTCTATTTTCCTTTTTCTTCACAACCTTGTAGTTGGAGCATATAATTCTCTTAAGTTCTCCATAAAAA